TAATCCATGGGCTCTACTGGTATATATAAATTGTTCACCTATGACCTGCATATGCTACAATTATTTTTTATTAAGAAAAATATGCTGAAGCTAGGACCGGACAAGGATTAGAATTTGTTCCAGCTTGCCTTTGAATTTATATGGTGTTTATGCCATGCATTTATACAGGCCATATCATTATACGAGTAAAATGATTTAGCCCCTATTTGGCCCTCTTTTTTTCAAAACTTATTTTCAATCACACATGTCATGGGACCACAACTTTTATCAACTTTTCAACCATACATTTCATCAATATTTTTCAAAATTTACTAAAACAGGAGCTTAGTTCAGTTGTGTTATTCATAACCATTCTTTTTCTTCGTTACTTATCTTGAAGTTCCTCACTCCGATGTTGGTTAGATGTGAAAGGACTTTATATAGATATGCTTTTCTCTGTTTTATCTTCTGTAGGTAAAAAATGGCTACTATTTCCAGGAATAATATGGTACTTGCTTTCATTCATAAACTTGAGAGTGAATATAAATGAGATTTTTACCACAAGACAATTACACATTAGTAGGTAAATGTAGGATATGTATGGTTAGAAAGGGAAGTGCAAGTCACATATAGCCCTGTAATAATATTTTCTTTACTTAGTAAAAGAATCTGTATGTCAGAATGTGTTATGCGAACATGCTGACACCCATTTGAAAAGTTTAAATGCAATATGTTTTTGCATCAACGACTGCTGTTTGTAAACTGACTCGTGAAGAATGGGCACTGAGCTTGGAACATGCAGTACGGTATTTACTTGTGTGCGAGTGTCGAGAGATTTGCATTGTGTGAGGACTGAGGAGAATTATTGATACAATAAACATTTTAATATGATTTTTTTCTTTGGATTTGGCTCATTGAACACATCTTGTCCTGCACTACTTGCGTTTGCAAGCATCCTTCAATGTTTTTGAGTTCTATGCATATTTTTGTACAATCAACCTTTTTTTCTTTCTTTTTCTGGTTGCCAGTATACTGACGAGGAGGTTGAACATGCCTATGAAGAGTTTTACGAGGATGTACATACTGAATTTTTGAAATTTGGGGAGCTTGTAAATTTCAAGGTAGCCATTTGTCCTTCAAAGAAATTTCTTTTTCATCCTTTTTTTTTTTTAAAAAAAATATCTCGCTTGCCCTTATTGTTTGGATATGGGCTACAATGCTCCTTGGAGAGAATGTCGGACTTCAATGATGTCAATGTACAGGTTGTAGCTATAAATTAGGTTGCTCTCCTGTGACTGTTGTTAAACTCATCAGTGCTTGTCTTTTCCTGTGAGAAAACATGAAAACCCTCCACTCTGCAAAAAAGCTGGCTTGATGCAAAGTCTTTGGGCATTGAGCTTGATTCTTCAATAACATTGTTGGGTGATGACAGACGCTCATAAACTAGAACTTGAGTTATAGAAGAAGGGGAAAGGGGAGAGGAGGAGAAGAAGGGAAGGGGTAGGGGAGGGGAGGGGGCAATTTTTTTTATAGAGACAGACCAGAGAGAATCTATAGAAGCTGAAATTGGAGGAGAGATTGTATTTTTATACAATAATCAAGTCTGTCAAATACAGTGCATAGCCCCTTTATATAGGGTTTTAACTAATCTAATTGAAGTAAGAAATAACTAAAGAAATAACACAAGATACTAGAACATCTATAAAATAAACCCTACTTTTCCTGAAAAAATCCAAACTTGGAAAGTCTTCGTATAATATATCTAATAGGACCCCCATCAGTTGACCAGCATTCGTCATTTTCTTTCCCTTCACTTGTGTGGTCCATCATATTGACAAACTTGAAACATGAAAGTTTCTTTCCCGAGCCACTTGTCTGGTACCATGACTTAGAATTTCCGTTCGAATAGCAATTTTACTGAAGTAAATAATAAGCTTTCGTATCGTCTTTTGCAATGTTGATGCATGACAATTAAGTGGCCATTGCTCAGGTTTGCAGAAATGGTTCATATCATTTGCGGGGAAACGTGTATGTGCACTATAAGTCCTTGGATTCTGCTGTGCTGGCTTATCAATCAATAAATGGTCGTTATTTTGCTGGAAAACGGGTATTGCTTTCCTTTTTCTATGCAAAATTGAAAATTTTCCTTTGCTCATTGTATTTTTACAAACAAGTTTCCTGTTTAATAGATTCCTGGTGATGTGTGAATCATTTTTTTTATTTTTATTGTATCGGTTGAATATTTTGCGGTGTCATAATATAGAAGTGTGTGCTTGAGTATTTTATTTTTTTGGTTATAATGACTGTATTTTATGCTGGTTGGCATGGGTGATTGAATTAATAAACCATGCAGCTTGCATGTTGCTTCTTCTAATTTTGGATAGCGATTTCCTGGTTGTCTTGATAGGTGCAATGTGAGTACATTGGGGTAAATAGATGGAAGATAGCAATATGCGGGGAGTTTATGAAATTAAAGCTTAAGGTATAGTTACAACTGCAAGCGATAATCATCTTATTTTGAAGTTGTGATTTCCTTATTTTTGGTATACAAGTGTCCCTTCTCTGGGAGGTGGAGCTGCAAAGAGTGCAGATTTCTTTATATTGATATTGCCCACAAGTATGCTCATATATATATATATATATGTATTTATTGGCAGTCATGTTCACGTGGAACCGCATGCAATTTTATCCACTGCTTTCGGAATCCTGGTGGAGATTATGAATGGGCTGATTGGGATAAGCCACCCCCAAAATTTTGGGTGAAGAAGATGGTTGCTTTATTTGGTTATTCAGATGAATCTGGTTACAATAAACAGACTGAGCACGAAAGCCCAAGACTGCTCTGTAATTCCGACAGAATGTCGACACATGACAAAGACAGGTAGGCATGCAATGTTGGCGATAAATTGTACTGTGAACCCAACATCTTCAGTTATTACTCCGGCTGTCAATTGAGCCCATTTATCCTGAAAACCACTTGACCCTCTCATGTTGGAGTCAAGACTCGAGTTTGCCAAAGTTTAGTTGATTATAGTAAAACTCAAATAAATATGAATAGAGTGTAATTTTACCAAGCCCAAGCTGAACTGCACCCAGCCTAACATTGAAATAATTTTAAATTGAAGTTCTCTGGTGGCGTAAATAAATGGCAACTAGCTATGTCTGTTATTTGCTATGGTAATTTGCACCCAGAAAAGAGCGCCAGTTTATACGCGATACGAGTCAAATAATGTGGTCATTGGCCTTCAATGAGTGAACTTTCGAAAATATTCTTCATTATTTTTTAAGTGTAATCTCGTATACAACAGAAGTCAATCTAATATCAAGTGTCTTTGTAGTGTTTGTTTTTCACATGTTACATCAGTAACTTTTCTGCATGGTTTAGTTTTGATTGCTACATCAGATGTTTGTTTTCTTATTATTGTTTTCTAGCATTATGAGCCGTGCAGGGATATATATATATATGTGTGTGTGTGTGTGTGTGTGTCAGTGTGTGTGGAAGAACAAGTTGTTACATGTTATCTAGTCTCACTTGAATTTTCGGATTTTTTATTGGCAGATATCACTATCAAAGATCTCAATCAAGAGAAACTGATTATTCAAGAAGAATCTCAAGAAAGTACTCTGAGGAGTTTGACATTGGAAGAGGTGCACCTCGACTCCGGCATGGAAGTGCTGATAAAAAGCGGCCAGAAATTCTCGAAGAAAAACACTGTAAAGACACATCAAGTTCTAGAAAGATGCCACGTGGCAAGAGCCCATTTAGTGATTATGATTCTGATAGAGATAGGTTAGACAGAGACAGCGTTAGAGGTGGGCTCTGTGACAGCTCAAGCAAAAATTCTCGACATCACCGTAATGGAAAATTGGAATATCAAGTTGGTCGAAGTGACGGGAAGAGCACAGAAGAGACTGATGTCAATGTAAATTTGTCAGACTGGGACATAGAGAAAGATGGTCATCATGGACATGAAAGGAAGAGCAGAAGACACGGACAGAAAAGATCTGGAATCCTGGATAAAGATTGTGCTATCAGTTCTAGTAGGGATTGGCTGGATGAAAATAGACATACAGCCATGTGCCGAAGTGACTCAATGAGAAGCACAAGACATCACAATGTGCTAGATGATCGTTGGGATGACAGAAGCAGAAACTATGACAATTATTTAAATGGTGATTGGGGTGATGATCCTGGGGTATCAGCAATGACTACGATTGAATCTGAAGATGCAGAATATGATGCACAAAAGGCTCATAAAGTAAAGCACTCAAACTGTGGGGATAAGAGAAAATCTGGCAGTTCTGATCGAAATTATAAATATTCTGATTATAATTCTGATTCAAGCTCTGGACCATTGAGATGTGAGAAACGATATCCTAACAATCTCAAGAAATCAGAAGGCAAGCAAGATACTGACGGGAATTCTGATTCTGAAAGTCAAGTTCAGTATCCCGAGGAAAAAGAATCGCATGCATACCATCAAGAAGATGTTGACAAAAGAGGCCGCTGGGAACCCGATGAGGGTGTCTTTTAAATGTGACACATCTAGAAGAAAGTCACACATGGAAAGGATCTACTTGAGCCTTGCCCTGGCTTTACAATATGGTGAATGCATTGAATCTCCAACTCACGTGGATGTTCACAGTTTTGATCAGATGATGGTGAACAGAGTTTTGTATGGAAGAGTATTTGAAGCTAGGAGAATTGCCCAACGTTTGTTTGGTTTCCTCATCTGTGTATGACTTTTGCTCTTTGTTAAAAGTTCACCATAGTCGAGTAAGCCATGGATAATTAGTCGTGTAGAAAGTGATATAGTGCTGCCTGAAAGTTCTTAAATGGCGTTACGAGTGAAATTTTTTCACCATTACAGTAGGGATTATTAAATATGTAGCATCAAATGCAGCAGATCTTCAAATTTTTATTATTATAAGGGATAACATAGACCATTCTGAGAGTCGTGTTTACACGCTCCTCGATTGACAACTTCCAGAATTGGCTCATAACATTACATTGGGATGAATTATTTGCTAACTGGCTTGAAACATTGAAAAATGCAGCCAAGAATATTAAACACACATCCAAACACTCCACCAGCCCTCTCCTTCGCGGATTCATGGACGGCAGGTATACCATACACAGGATTTGGAATCATATACTGTTGATAAGAAGTGGGATACTCACAGCTGATCTCAGAATCAGGATCTTGTTGTTGGGGAACAAATTGAGCTTCACTTGAATTGTATAAGCCTGAAAAAGATGTATTGACTTCAGATATTAAAAGGGCCTCATGGGATTGTTCGTAGTCGAGCCACTCTGGTAGAGGTGGAGCAGAAGGCTGAACGTGGTGGTGACACTGCCAATGACAACTACAATGAAGTGGTGGTGGAGGCGGCGGTGGACGTGAAGGTGGAGGTGGATTTACCAAGAAATGAGTCTTCTTTTTCCTCTTCTTTCTTGACCAGAACTTGAGCTTCTTCATGGCTGTCATCACCTTCATTTGGCTTCTTCAGTTGCTAGAGTATAGGGGATGTAAATGGCCCAAGGTTTTCTACTTCCGACTCGTGTGTGTATAGAAATATAGTGGTTAGATACCTTTCAAATTTAAAAACCCATCATATTTTTTTTCAAACTTTCTGACCGTTGCCATTTCAATTTTTGTCTCACTGAGTTATTTTTAGTGCTTTTTCACTGCAGATTAGGCCCCCATTTGAAACCTTTTTGTTTTTTCCATTCTCATTCTCATTTTTTTCTCTTTCTTCATTTCAACCATACATTCTATCAATAAAATAATATTACACATAAACCCAGAAATTCTCATTTACTTTTCAACCACACATTCTTCCATCAATCACTATTCCAAAATTTATTTTTTCTCCAAAATGGGTGCAAAACAGGGTGTAGGTAAAAGACTTGAGTCCTTGTTTTCATCAGTTAAAAATAAATTTTTTAATAAATTTTAATAAAAGTCTATGAAATACATGGTTGAAATTGTGTGATTGAAAATGAGTTTGAGAAAAAAATAAATTTTGAAAAATGAAAGTGAAGCGTGAGTTTATATTACCATTATTCGATGTGCAATGCGATTTAGTATCGTTGGTGTTAAAACACCAGTTTTTGTGGTACTAATGTGATGTAATCTAAACTGGTGTTGTAGCACTACTCGTGTTAAATAACATTATTTTTATTGGACTTAGACTATCTTCTTTTGTATTTGGCAAATTTTAATAAAATGCTTGAAAAGATCAAGGAGAAGGGAATGAGATCTTTATCTATTAACAATTTTATAATAAGCCCATGTTTGGTACACATTAAACCTCTGTTTAACCCCCATTAAATTAAATTACATTATATTAAATTTTTCTCTCTCTTCATTACAACCACACATTCATCAAATAAAATAATATTGCACACAAATCTAAAACTTTTTATTACTTTTCCACCACACATTCTCCCATCAATCACTATTCCAAAAACTTTCAACTATCAAAAATGCCAAATAATGGGGGCCAAACAGGGGCTAAATTTTTTTCATTCTAATTCTTCTACTCATTTTCAACCACACATTTTTCAATAAAATAATATTTTCTATCATATCAATAACTTTTCAATTTTTTTAACCACACATTCTCATCAATATACTATTTCAAAATATATTCTTCCAAAATAATGTGACTCAAAAACAACCTAAGACGCAGATAAGAGTATGATTTTTTGCTCTAAAGATATATTAAGTTAATGTGGAATTAAAAAGGGAGAAACAATTCAAAAAGCTAGAAAAAATTTAAATTGATAATTCTTTATATTCGAACTATTTTTTTATATAACATGCATTTTGGAATAGGAGATTGAAGGAAACGTACGGTGAAGGAAAATATTTGAATTCACGTGTAATATTATTTTATTAAAAAATATAGAAAGATATATTTTTTTTAAAAAAATGGGATTAAACATGGCCTAAATTCCCACGCGAGCGCGGTGATTAAACCCTATAGTCTCTCGGCCGATTTGACAAATCTAGAATTAATATTACCAAAAATTGAAACTCAGGTACAAAAAGAAAATGATTCTCAGAACACCACCGGCGAGAAAACGGAGGGCGGAATCATGGCTGCCGGAAGGGGATAATACCAACAGCCCAAGCTCCAATAGGCACCAGCTGGTGATTTACGAGGACCATCCAGTGGTGGAATCTTCGCATGACCATTCTACCCCTACTTCCACAGACCAAATGCTCTGCACTTATCAATGCCGTCAGATGGTATGGCCGACTTGCTTTTGGAAATTCAATGTTTCATGTTCATTATGTTGTATACTCGAGTTTAATTTTGTTGATTTATTATGTTTACGTTTGTTTAAATTTGTACTGTAACTGTATGATGGAAATCTGGGGCTCTTCAAAATGTAAGTTCAAATTTTACGGGTCATTGAATTGCAAGATGAAAATTTTACGGCTAATTAAATTATAAGTTTGGCAGGGGAAGTATAAGGATTATGGTCGATTAGTTTGGAGCTGATTACAGGAATTGATTGAATCCAAATGGTTTGTCTTTGCACTAAAGCTGATTGCATGAAGAACAGTGGGGATTCCGGACTTTGGAGATACTTTGAATAATGCCCTCATATGGGAATAAATTCTTATAAGATGTAAACGAGAAATTTGTTTGAGACAATCATTCATATTAGAGACGTAGAAGACATCCTTATTGCCTTGGTGAATTTCATTTAGCTTCCAGATAGGGGCATATGTAAATGGGCTTTTTGCAGCACTATGGCTCCTTGAGGAAAATGTTACCCTTATCTAAAGGCATGCTAGAAAATATATAATTTTGATGACATTATGACATTTTCTTTAACCTTCTAAGTACAATTGACCAGTCATCTTATCTTTTCTACAGCATTTTTTCAAAATTATCCTCTCAATGAGGGGTGTTATGTAACTATTATTGCTATTATTTTGTGAAACTTAGTTTCATTTTAACTTCATGATAGGTTTATTAGTCATCCAGAAAATTTAATAAGAATAACAACTAGTGACATAGAAGAACATGAGATGAAGGGGGTAATACTTACTATTCAATTTGAAACTACTAGTAGCATCGTAATCTACTCCACATGGACCAGAGACAAGAAGTACATGTTAAATGTCAACGGGTTGTATTCATCTAACCGCTGTCCAGATATGTCGACTAGAAAAGTAGTAATTTGTTCCAATATCTTTTTTTAATTAATTACAGTAAATCTATTCCGAAGGTACAGTGAACTGTCCAAAAGGAAATTCAACTTTCTTGCATTCTAATCATAATACAACCTGTAGACTTTGGACCACTATTAAGCTTAGAAGATGGATAATCGTTTGAGCATTGCTAATTTTGCAGTATGTCTAATGTCTTTCAAATGGTTCCCACTATTTCCTGTAATCACTCTTGTGGGTTCCCTTGATACTTGTGCTCTTGGGACTTGAGTTGAAAATTTTATATTTGGTATAACTTGCTTCTGTTGTAGGTTAAATCAGAGTTCCTGGATGCTCTAAGCAGTGCAGAAAAGCAAGCATGCGATTATCAATCTAAAGTAGAAGCACTGAGTGATGACTTCTCCAAAGCGGGTAATGGTCAACTCAATTGATCTTATACAGACTTTAAGATTCACACAATGCTCTTATTAGATTGCTTGATTCCTACTGTTTACGTTTTCTATTTAGTCTGCTCCTTAAATATGTTGCCCATATTCTTATGACGACGTGAATTCTCGTTATTTACTATAAGAATAAAGCTTATCTCTCCAGTTTTCAATTCACTGATGTGTAACACAGGAATTTATTGTCTCTGGTTTCCTTCCTAAAAGAGGTACTTTGTTTCCTTGACAATGCATTATGTAGTGGAAAGATAAATTGGAGGTAGTTTTTTGAAGCAAGACCAGATGACTACTGATAAAAAATCTAGTAGGTGGTAAGAGATATATACATCAACTAAAATCAAGCTTTAGCATAATAATGAGTAGAACTTCAGGCAGTATAGCAACCAAGGTATCTTTGTCAAGGAATAAGAGCTTCTTAATCTTCACAGTTCAAGTTCCTTGCTGTTACTGGGATAATTAATTCGACTCCTTATCGCTGACTCTCTTCATTCTATTAGAGCAGTAAGACGGCATTACTTGCCAGGTTCGATGAAGGGGCTTTTGTCTGCACTTAGAAGTTTCTTAAAGGCTAAAACCATCATTAACATTTTTAAGCACACTTGAACTGCTTTTGACAGTGCTGCAGCATCGTGTCTTCTGTCCCTGTCTTAGCTATGGAGTTAAAAAAACTAGCGGCTGCTGATCTTTTAGAAAACTTTCAGTTGGTCACTGAAATTACATTTTGTTTGAAGTTGGTCACTGAACTTAAACATTCATTACAATTTTGTCATTTAGTCCATGTCCGATAGATTGACTGATTAGAAAAGTTGACATGGCAGCTTAGTTAGAAAAGAATTTTTTGTTGTCACGTTTTCCCTTATTCAAACTAATAGGCATGAACCTAGTGACCAACTTAAAACAAAGTTTAAGTTCTGTGATCAACTTGAAATGACCAACGCATAATTTCGCTAGAAGTTCAGGGACCACCTATGTTTTTAACCATTTAGCTATATTAGGTTGAACTAACTACTTAAGATGGTAACTGGTGTGAATACATTACACTAAAGAATACTGTCATTCGTTAGTAGGATGAATGATGTCATGGATTAAAATGGAGCAGACCATGAAGTAAAATGACTTGAATCACTTTAGAGCTGTTGACGGAATAAATTGCTTTGTCTTTTGTCTTAATCAAATCTTGCTTTACGGAAAAAACTATTATGGTGGAGTTAAAAGGAAAAAACAAATCCTATGAGGAAGACAATCGATGATAATCCCTTTGTCTGTAACCTTGGTTGTGTACTAAGCTCATATCCAACTTCTGCCTACCATTCATCTAATATATCCTGCCTCTTTAGGATACTATGCTTAAATGATATTAGGAATTAAGATATTTCTCCAATGGTTGCCATTTATTTCAGTTTTTTTGTTGATCAAATTGCCAAGAATGCAGTTTCATTTACTTAGCTACTCCTGTCTGTCTCTATATTGTTGCTCTACCTATTTGGTGAAGATGCCATGTTGTAAGTTCAATTTACGGAAAAGGTCTTGTGAAAATTTCCTATAGTCGGAGGAATGTAGCCCTTGGTTGGTTTTGACATCCATTGGTTTGCGATATTGTTTTTCCTTGCCTCTCCTGGATTTTGGTATATTATAAGGGTTAATGGCTTTTCAAATGTTCGCATTTTCTTCTTTTCTTTCATAAGTTTTTTTGGTATCAAGTTCGGTTATTAGGAATATGTCACTAACTTGTATGGTGCTGAGCTTTATTCCTTTCAGAAGCTGAGAGGAAGAAATTTCGAGATCAATTCTTTAATGCAGAGCAAGAACTTGCTGCTGCTAAAGGGCGCGAACAAATGCTGCAACAGCAGCTCAGGAAGGAAGTTGATTTTTCTCAAGAACAACTTAAGAAACAGATACAATCCTACAGTGAACTCGAGGTGCAAAGGCTTCTGTTCTTTTTTAACTTCATGCAATTGTGGTTGTGTTGTTTGGAGCTTTTCAGGTCACATGAATCTAAGAAGACATTTGGGTTTATTATCTTTATATGTGCTTTGTACAACTTCATGCATTATGCAAATGTTTCATTTTAGTACTTCATTTATCCAAGTGATAATGATGATGATGATAGTAATAGGCTCTAGGAAGGGGAGACCAATATAATTTCCATTGCAGTGGGTAAATTTTCAATCTATCTAATCCTAATTTTTATGTGGAACAACGTTTATGTTGTACATGAACTACACCCAACTGTACCTTCTCTCTAGCTGTGACTGATGAAGCTAGTGAAACAACTACTTGATGAGATCAGAATTTTTTGTTGAAATCTTATCCTCTAAAGGGCCTAAACCATAAGATACCCCTATTTGTGTTATTTGTCAGACGACATACATCTGACTGTTAGTTGTTTTTTTGGAGACTTGTTTCATTTATATTTTCCTCCTCTTTTTTCCTATATAGAGTTCTTCTATATCATTTATTAATTTGTTATGTTCGTTTACGTGTTTTTCCTCGTGTCCTAAGTTATATGTTGTAAATCTTCATCTTCTTCTTTTTTATGTAGATAAAGTTGCGAAACGAGATCGATCTTCGCAAGAAGGCGGAGTCATCTGCAGCCATCGCTGAAGAAAAAGCAAGTGTTTTAGAGGGAAATCTAAATACTCTATCAGAAAGCATCGAAAGGGAAAAAAGTCGTCTTGAGAATGAGCTTGCAGAAATGAGAAGTGGATCAAAACTTTCGATTGATAGAATAAGTGCAGATGTCAGTACCACAATCTGTTTACTGAGTAAAGGTGTTCTTTGTCATGTTAAATTCTAAGCTTTTCATCTTCTCTTCAGCTTGAGAGAATGGAATGCAAAGCTAAAAATGCCGAAAAAGAGTCAGCACTGCTGAAAGAGCAGTTGGAAGAACTTAAGGGGCGTCTGAATGAGGTAAATTACTTTACTTATTCATAGTTTGGAAACTTTCACCATATTTATTTGATCATACACTAAGTCCACACTAATGACCAAGCTCACACGGACACGTTTTCTTTCGCGTGCGCATGTGCGGGGGGTGGGGGTGGGGGTGGGGTTTAAGTTTTTATTCTCCAGTGTTTTATAACACTTACTTAATTTTGCATACTGAATGGGAACCGTCAGCAAATTTGACGCCATGCTTATTCGTTCTCATGTAAGGATTGCAAAATTTGGGAAATCTGTTTCCACTATTGCAGTAAATGTCCAACAAGTATAGGCTGTAAGTGAGTGGTCCATGAAGATGTGCATTAGCGAAACGGATATGATATGAAATTATAGGTAGGATGGGTTTAAGTTACATGTATTTAGGCATTAGGTAGAGTGTATGAACTTGGTTTGGACCTAACAACTTCTTTTGGGTGGTTTTTTTTTTTAATAGATAATCAGAAAATTTTATTAATCAAAGAAGAATACACATGAAGTGTATCATCAGTTTAAACAAGAAAGAAAAGATATNAAAGAAGAATACACAGGAAGTGTATCATCAGTTTAAACAAGAAAGAAAAGATATAAAGTTAGGCAACCCCTTTATAGGATTGCTAGTCGCTGCATGTAAGCCTCTGTTTGGGAAGAAAGTATTTATATAAATAGATAAAAATGAGTGGTGGAAAAGTGGTTAGTACTTGTGGGTCCATTGGAATGTGTGGTTGGAAATGAAGTTTGGCAAAATTATAAATTTTAGGTTGGGGGTTGGGATGGGAAGGGACAAGGCACATCCATCTCCCGAGTAAGTTCACCCCTTCGGCTTAGGGTAATGTTGATGGTGGATTCATCTTAAAACTGGATGGTAACACTGCCTAACTTTTATGGTTTCAAATCAAATTAGAAATGAGAACAGGTTAATGAAGATATGAGATCTGTCCTGACATTTTCATTTTGCAATTTGAAATAACTGTAAAAGTAATTTGGCAAACGTAATTTGAAGTGTAAAGTTTTTATTCCAGTAGTTTTTACAGTTCTTCCTGAATTTTTCTCACTCCAAGGGAACCCGCTGCGAACGTGAGGCCATTTTTGTTGATTCTCACGCTAGGATTGCAAAAGGTGGGAAATCTGTTTCCACCATTGCAGTAAAATGTCAAATTCAACAAGTATAGGTTGTAAGTAAATGGTCCGGGAAGATTTGCATTAGGAAAACAGATATGATATGAAATTGTAGGTCGGATGGGTCTAAGTTACTTGTATGTAGACATTAGGTATCGTTCATGAACTTGGTTTGTACCTAACAAATTCTTTAGGGTGGTCATCCGAATCAGATATCTTCCATTTTTGGGAGTCAACAGGTAAAATGCAAAGATTTTCTAATGCGTTTACCTTTATGGGTATGCCTGGAATTGTAAAATTTTAGGTTTGGGAGGGGTAAAGGGGGCAAGTTACCCCAGCCCCTAGGTAAGTTCATCCCTTGGAGTAATATTGATGGTGGATTCATCTTAAAACTGGGTATCACTTCTTGGTATTTATTAAATGGTAACTCTCTTACTAGTATGGTTTCAAATTAGAAATGAGAAAATGTCAATAAAGATATAAGATTTGTCCTAAAAGTTTAATTTTGCAATATGAAATAATTGTAGATGTAATTTGGCAAATGGTAGAGGCCATATTGTTGAAGTATAGCTGATTTGCTTATTGCATTACAGCATAACTCGTGATAATGGTTCAAAGCAGTATTATGTGCTATAGGTTAAACTACCTAAGAACTGAAGAGTAATTGTCTGTTGATTTGACCCATGAGTTTTTGTTGCCTCTCTTGTCATACTACACATTGCTGCATTTAAACTCTCTTTATCTTTGGATTTGTGATAGAGTGACACTATTGTCTTTACTCACCAGTGCATGCAGGAGAAATTTGAGGTGGAAAAAAGGTTATCAAGATTCACATCTGCGGAGACTCCTTCGAAGGACGCTGATTTGTTGGTGAAGCATTTGCAAGAAGAACTAAGGAGCTATGTAAGTTTTTTGTTTTATTCATTGTTAGCACGTATACTTTGCTTATGCCTTGATTACTTGAAAGAAACTAATTGTAGAAAGCAAACTTGTAAAAAGTACATATAATACCACCCTTTGACAACCCAAAGTTGAAGAAGAAAGTTGGACATGGATGACAATGGACAAATACAAGATAAGATGCCTTCTGAAGTTCCACAGTATAACCTTATTTTTTATTTTCTATAAGCCATAATGTACCATCACATACTTTGATGAAGTCAACAACCCATTTAGGAACAAGATAATATTGCTGTAGATTTGCTTCCAAAGAATATATAAGTTGAAAAGTGGTAGAGTTGCAGTATTAGGTGATTGCAGCTACCATATTATTTGTTTTGTCTTCATGGTGTTTCGCTGTTGAGCATCGGCACATATTTGATTTTCAGGTCTAAGCACATTGGATTTGATATCCTTTATCACATAGAATTATCTAGCGTGCACATTTTTCTTACATTAATCCAAGGCAGAAGAGCGATTATTTACAATAGGTTTTTTTTTCCAGAATAAATCAAATTATTCAATTTTCTTATTCAATTTTTCTCAAAGTATTTCAGGAGTGTGAAGTGCGTGAAGCCAGTAAGATCATATCTTCTCATGAAAAAATTGAGTTGTTGAAAGAGAAGTTACTAGAGGAAAAAGGTCGCAGGGAAAGGGCAGAGTCAGATCTACACAAGTTATCAGACATCCAGCTAAGGTTGAAGGAGTTGGAGGATGAGTTGTCCACATGGAAATCAATGATTAAAGACATTCCTGGCGTGTCACGTGCTGATGATTTACCACTTAAATTTGGAGCCTTACAGAAGTATGTATCCTGGTCATATTTTACTTCATTCCTGCTATCCACTAGAGTTTCTAAAAGTAAAAAACCATTGCGTTAATCTTGAGGAATAAGTTCTGTTCTTTAATATCCATGCTTCACATGTTGCTTCAAATTACCAACTACGACGAGTTAGGTTCATAAATAATTTTCAAGGAAAATGGATGCTTCATGTTAGCAATATAATTCTATCTTCTCATTAAGCAAACGGTTTTAAGCAAATATGATCAACGCTATTTTACATCTTCGATGTTGTTTCTTGGAAATGTAGTTTATATTAGCTTAACTCCCTGTTATTTGGGAGGCAGTGTTGAATTGCATAAAATCATTTATATGGTCTATCTTTATGGGCTCTACTTAACTTCTTTATTGGGCTCATGCAGAGAGGTATATGATAGCATGATGAAAGCAGGTGAGGTCGAAGCACGCTTGAAACAAGTAGAAGTTGCTCTTGATACCACATTTCTTGATAAAGAAAATGCAGAAACTGAGGCTGCACTGGCAAAAGAGAGGGCAGAATCATCTAGATCAGAAATTAAAAGGCTAGAATTGATGGTTAGTAGAATTCTTTTTACACTCTGATGTGAGGACAAACTCTCACTATTTGGTTCGTCATTGGGTTCTATTATTATCCTAATGACCTTGCCAAAGTACTTGATGACATTGATGCTTTTTTACACTTTTTATTACTTCTGTCTGACTCAAGTTTGCTAAGTGAATAATTGATGAAAATGTTCTGCGAAGTACCATGAGTTTATATAGATGAACATGGGGCTACTGCTTCCTTTGAAAGTTTTTGCTGGAGGTCATTATTTGTATTCTTCTGTTCCCTCCTGATTGTATAGAAGCAAATAAGGCAATGCAGAATATTTTAAACTTCTCCAACTTTTCGTTTGGTCTTCCACCAATTTTTATGTTTGAATTGCTTTTTTTATTGTAGATTGCATCACTTACAGAGGAAAGAGATAGCTTGAAACATGCTGTTGGTGAAATGAAAGGGTGCAAGAGTCTTGATGGCGGAAAGGAATTAGTCAATGGAACTATTGTTCAAGTAATGAGGTGCCATTGTTTTAAAATTTAGTATTTTCACGGAATTTTTCCAGTTCATCCATGCTCATAATTTTTTTTATGTTGACAGCAACTAGAATCGTCTCTTGCCAAGAAGGAAAGCTTTATCAGGGAACTAGAAAGCAACTTATCTGAACAAAGGGAAACTAATAGATGTCAACTCGATGAAATAAAATTGCTAAGTGAGAGTTTAAACAATGAAGCAAAAAGAATAAAGATGTTAGAGAGAGAAAGTGATCGCCTCCGTTCTGAGATAGCTATATTGGAATCCAAGGTTGGTACTATAAGAGAGACATATGCCAGAGTATTTTCTGGTTTTTGCTAGCTTTGCCATTGCTAATATTCTTTTGCTTTACACAACCATGATACTTTTTATATCTGAAAGTTGGTACAAATGCTATTATAATTCATATTTTCATGGTATGCACAGGAAATAGATAACGAACCACACTGAACAAAAAGAAGTCCCAAATTAGTCTGTGATGAGGGGTATTCAGTATTAGATAAAAGAACTCAGGGGCTCAAGTTCATCAACCACAGACTTTAGTAAAAAGCTAGAATTTTTTCGAGTATGGTAATGCCCATTTGTGCCTTGACGTCTTATAGCTGTGAGTTAGGAATGCGTATGGTCTTCCCATTTTTTTAATGCTTAAATCCCATTAGAATCTGGTTATCTGAATTAGAGCGTTCTATGATGGATTTATTGTTAATGATGGTTATGGAATTCAAGGGAACTCGTCTTCAAGTTTTGCAATGTGTAGTACAATGAACAATGATCTTTGACAACTATAAAGTGAGTGTCATAAGTAAAATGGTTAGATCCTAGAAGCATGGTTTTTTGTTTTTGCCGAAGTCATCTTTTTGGATGCAATATACTTTTTCCTGCCTTTTCTTTTATTCTTATTATTTTTCCCTTTGTGCAGCTGGGACATGGTGACTTTTCTTCTGCAAATACGAAAGTTCTACGGATGGTTAATACCCTAGCAGTTGAGAATGAGGCAAAACAAACAATAGAGGCTCTGCAAAATGAGTTGCAGAATATGAAGGAGAAATTGCAGGCTGTTGAAGACCTTAAAAAGCAGTCATGTAAGTTAATCAACTGTTAGATCGTCAGCCTCTTTGAAACTTTGGTTCTTCCTTCAAACATTTCTTGTCTTTGTCACTAGTACAATGCTCTATCCTTGTCACGCTTAATATCTCATGGTAAAGAACTGCTAATCAAGCATTTTGGAGGTGCATGGATTACTTGTGCACAGTTCTAAAACATCATTTAAAGGAACTCCCTGAACTTTGGGCTTGGGGAACCTTGGGGTGGGGTGGGGTCTGCAGTGTTGCACCTATATTTCGACAGCAGTTGGGACAATTTTAAGGGTTGCTTCTCAAAGCTTTTGATAACAATTTTAGAAGATTTGGATAAAACTTGATAAAATGTGTGGTTGAAAAATTGATGAAGGTTGTGGGTCCAATGGATTGCGTGGTTAAAGTAATTGTTGACTTTGACCTCAACTTTTTAAGCTATACCAAACAAGCATTTAATCTTCAAATTATTGGCACGGGGTTTTGTGAATGGCTGTTCAAGTTGTCATGAATTTTGTTCTTTCCCTTCTTTCCTGGAGGATATGTACAAAAACTTCAAAAAGGTATACTGAACCTGGAGGTCTTACTCCCAGAATTTTTCACGTTAACAAGGTAAAATTGTGACATAAAAAAGATACTTCTACAGAAGTATGGCTGACGAGCAAGCATAATCATCTTCCAAATTTGCGTACTTATAAGTGTGGCAGGATTTAAGTTGGGACAGTGGTCCAATTTAATCCTTTTTTGGCGCTACAAAACTGGATGGACTAAACTTTGGTTCTCTGGATGCCAAATGGCTTCCCTTAGATTTAAAGGTAATTGCTCTAAAGGAAAATTGTCCCATGCTGGTATAAAATAGGTGTTGAGTCAATAAGCTTTCTGCTTACAATTTTTTACATCTATCATGGTGTGGCGTCTGGTCATTATTATGAGGTTGATGCTGAAATGGTACATAAGATCTCGTACATAAGTTTTAACGATGTTCCTTTTAAATTTTCGGTTGTTCGTTGGTTCTATTTTGGCATAGGTAGTTATTCTTGCCAACCTTTCATTTGAGGTCTCTATAGTCTTGTGAAAATTTAGGCAACATTTCAATAGGGAAGTAGATGGAAGCTATTATAAGTACACCGTCCAACACTGGTGCTGAATTTGTTGGCATAGAAGATTAGCACTTAGCAGCCAAGAGAGAAAATTGGACTGTCTTTACCTTTCTAAATGGAGCTAAGATACTGATGCAAATAAAATATATTCTTTGTCTGGCTTTAAATTTGCTCTTCTGCATTTGCACTGTGCCATCATATTCATTAGAAATATACTCTTTACTTTACTCGCTAGCTCCTTTTTTTTGTTATTTTTGACATGCTCTAAATGGTTATTTCTCTTCAGCTGATTCTGGCACACTGGTTGACTCCTTCATTGCTGGAAAGATTAAGCAGTTGAAAGAGCAAATTGCAACACTTGAAAAACGGGAGGAGAGGTGAATGTCAAATAAAATTCTCTGTATTTGCCATAGCATTTACTTTTTAGCTCTTCTGCATAAAAGTAAAAAGTCTGAGTGTTTGATGAAACAGATATAAAACAGTTTTTGCCGATAGAATCTCAGTTTTTAGAAGGGCATGCTGTGAACTTTTTGGTTACAAGGTATGTCATGCTAAAACTTTCTTTTTGGTTCTGAAAACTATAATTACTAGTGTTTGTATTTTGGCTGCTGGCAATAGCCAAGTTTACGTGAAAACAGCATGACAAAGGTACATCTTCCTAGTCAAATCAGAGAAAACTGCCCCATTACATAATCAAAGAATCAGTACCATGTAAAAACAGCATTAGTTGGGATACAATATTTTCGTTCTGTAGTCAGCTTCTCGTCATATTTGTTTTTGACTTTATTATTATTATTTTTTTGTAACAGTTTCCTCTCATTTGCATTTTCCCATTTTCTAGTACAATTTACATGTATAGGGTAAATGCATTTGACTTTCGTGTTGAGGACTGGTCCTATTCTATTCTTTTGTTGTGATAATCACCCTGATTGCATAAAATCGTTGGACGTATTTGAAATTCCAATCGTTCAATTCCCCCTTTCCCTCCAAACTCAATCGGAAAAAAGAGAGATCAAGATTTTTGGCTAAGTTTAGAACTCTTAACAAAAAGAAGATGCTGGCTCAGGATTACATTTTATATTTGATTAAATAAATAAGATACTGAAATAGATATTATTGCAAGTTAATAATACAAAACTTAGGAATGAAGAAGATATGAAGTAGTTTATGCTCTAAAATTTCATGTACTTGTGTAAGATTTAGATCACACTTGAAACCCTGTTCACTTACTAGCATTCTCATCGTTTTTGGCTTTTTGCTCTATCGAATCATATACAGTACAAGAAATGGCCAAGCGTGAATTTCCAGTATCCTTGAATGAACTTTATCTTTTTTAGGGAAACTACACCTTTTGTTTTTACTGTTGACAGATGAGTAGACCCATCGAGTGTTTTTGTGAAAATTCGAAAACCTACTACTGATGTATTATTACCAGTTGGGGTTTGGTGCAACTGAGTCATGGTAAACACGACGGAAATTTTTATCGTCTATTTTACTTCATTGCTTATCTTGTCTCTATACTAATTTAAATAGCCAATACCCTTTTTGCATGTCTTCTGGACTGAAATTTTTGCTCATATTTCCAAAGTTTGTTGAAGTTATCTTACTTTGCCAGATTGTTATGGATGACCACCAACGCTCTGATGGAATTCCAGTTACTCGCTTTACCCTTCATTCGATCTATGCACAAAGTGACAATGAAAAGCTTGAATTTGAATATGAATCAGGGAACATGAACTTTTTGGTAAGCTCGATTAGCTTGATCTTTTATCTCCTCTTTGTTGAAGAAGGTTCTTTTTAGTCCTTCACAAAAAATTCTTCCATCAATAGTGTATAATCCCTTTTACTTTGCACATTTTCTATGGATCTTGTTTCTAGGTTACTTACTGGTCTTCTTCATTGGTAGATTCCTAGAGTGAAAATGGAGGCCACTCTTTTTGGGTTTTGGGCTTTAGGAAAAATGCTCACATTCTGTACAGTAACCTTTAGATTTGGCAAGTACATTCCAATTGTCAAATGTAAGCATTTCTCTTGAGGGGAAGCTCTTGCATAAGTAATATTTAAATGACATTAATGGATGGTAATAATGGCGGCCAAAATGTAAATCTATGAGGTGGGTGACATGTCACACGTCTCTGTTCTTAAAGTAAAAAAGGGAGGTTTAATTCCAAAAACTAGTGGGGATAACTATTGAATATTATTTTTCTTTGGCAAGTCTTGAAAATTTACTGCATTTATTTACACGCCGTGGGCGGCAAATGACCACCATATGTACTTGTAACGTTGGAATTTCTCGAACATTGATATTAGTTATTATGCTTTACACACAAGGCACATACATATCAATTTATATACGGTATGAACTAAGTTGTTTTACTTTATCTTATTCTTTTTCAATGTATTAGGCAAATGAGTATGCCTCACATCCTGAGTTATCTCGGCAGGTTTGAACTAAGTCCTTTTTGTTGATGTGCTATATTCTTTTTCTGTTGTGCACCCAATTATTCCAGTGCAGGACGTGATTGAGGGATGATTTTGCAGGTTGAAGTATTTATCCGAAAGATGAATTCAATTCCGGCTTTCACAGCCAACCTGACAGTCGAATCTTTCAATAAGCGTACCCTCTCTTAAAAGTTAAAATGTAGCAAGCTTGTATTATTGCATTCCAATACCCCGAGGGTTAATCTACACGACATTCAATTATACATTTCCTTTAAACGATTTTAGTGCTAGTCCAATATAAATATGATGTGATTTCAGTGATTTTTTTACATATAAATTGGGATATTACGTATGTATGTAGAATTTGAAGAAGTGAGAACGACTTAGGGCTCGTTTGATGGGGTTTCTGTTTCCTTGTAGAAGAGTTTCTTGAGAAATTTATATTGGTTCAACTTGTTAGACAAAATATTTTCAGAAAATTATCTGAAGAGGTTCGAAAGTAGCTTCTCGATCTTAAAAGTAACTTTTGACTTTTCAAAAAATATTTGTCAAATGGGCCTTCGTGAGTGACGTAGCATGAGAATTGTTCATGTTTAATCAAGAAGCTCGAATTGGGGGAAGCATTGAATTTGGCGAGAGCGTTGACTTAATTAGGTCCAGTTGGTAATTGAGAGGTGAAAGGGGCATAGATAGGGCAGTGGAAACATAAAGCCATTAGAAAAGGTCCTATGTTTACGCAAATCAACTCGAATCATGCATAGTGCGGACGCGTCAAATGCATCTAATATTGGTTTCTATTCTCTGTCAATTTTTATATATATATAATTTCTCTTCCACACACCCTTAGGGTGTATTGTGACATAAATTTGACCTAATATGATGCTTCTTAAATAGGAATTTTGATATATTTTTAACAAATGTTTTCAAATAGAATAACGTTATTTGTCGTTTGCTATTACAGTAGTTATCATACGTGACATTTTATGTGGAGGTTTGTTATTTGAAGCATTAATTTTCTGTAATTTTGTTGACTCAAATAATAAGTTAACGTCTCAATAATAATTTGACACATAGAATAACTGCTGCAATTACTGTCTATGAATAACTTACTCTTTCAAATAATATCCTCAATTTGGGTCATGCATGTATTGTTCTACGTCCTGTTTGGCACGCATATCTTGAAATTTAATTTTCTCAAATTTATTTTCAACTTCATATATCATGTGATTCATAATTTTTTAAAACTATTTAATCATACATTCCATCATTTTTTTATTAAAATCTATTAAAAATCTAATTTTTAGTTACATTAAATTCACACGAAATTAAGAATTATGTCTAAGAGTAAATCGAATTGTTGAAGTTACTTGGCCATGCTTAGATTATCCTTGTGTACGTTCTTTCATATCATGGCTTCTTGAACAAATATATAATACCTAAAATACGCTTCGAGCACTTCTAACTATGCTCATTAATTTGCCACATGTAAATGTATTTTGAGTATCCCAAATTAGAGTATTTGTTGATGTATTTTTGAAGAATTAAATAGTCGTTAATATTCAAAAATGAAGTATAGTCTTTAAAATTATTATAAACCTAGATGTTCGAGAGGTTTGTGTAATTTTTAAAAGGGGACGTCTTTTAAACTATCATAAACCTCGTGAAATGTCTCTATGATTTGTCATAAAATTAACTTTTAAGCACAATCAAATGCGAGATTTTCTCCTTTTCATATTGGATTAGAAAGTTTAGTGACTAACATTAGTGGCAAAAGACCCAACCCACCAATGACAAAGTTGGTTTCCCCAATTTGTGAATAAAGTATACTAAGCGACACCAAATTTTCAAGAAGAGCTCATGTGGCAAGGCTTGAGCCATAGAAAGGAGGCCGTCCTTGTATGCCATATACGTGTACATGCCACACATGAAAAGGGTAGAATAGTTAACGACAATCACAATTGCATTATTATTATTATTATTATTATTTATGACTTAGGTGTCAAATCTTCGCCTCACTAATCCTAAGAAGTGACAATCTTCCCCCCGGTTCGCCACCCAGTTTAATTCAGATATGGTCACAATTTATACACATTTTGACTAGACATTCAACGGTTATTCTCTCTGTGGACCTCTGCCTTCCAAAATAGATGTTGACTTCCAACATAAATGTTGTCTTCCAGCTGCTGCAGGGATTCAAACATTCGATAATCTGAAGAGAACTCTCATGCTTTACCACCGCGTCATGCCCGTGGAGGCAATCACAATTGCATTATTGATTTGATAGAATCAAGTTCTTGCTTTGCTCCTCATTCAGAAGTACATCGGGCTAAATACAAAAGCAATTCATTTTAAAATGAATACGGTTTTGTTTGATGAGGATTAAAATCATATATTTTTTTTCATTTTTTGTAGATTTTGATAAAAGTTGATGAAATGTGTGGTTGAAAAATTGCGGGTCCTATAAAATGTGTGGTTAAAATTAATTGTTAACTTTGATTTATATTAAAATCTAAATTTTAATTTTTACCAAACAGGGTAAACTAGAAAATTTTCAGTATAATTGCAGTTGAAATCTTCGCCATCCGAAAGAAGAGGTTGTAGGACCCCGACGATCTCCAATATTTCCGCTTCTGAGGCATTTAGTTGACAAAATCATTCCAAAAGATTTTAGTTGACTTGATCCAGTAGTCTCAAGACCTCACAAATAGAGAAATTCAATACCTAATTTTGCAAGACGTAATGCAAATTATTTAGTGGACATTAGAGCTTTCCAATATTCAATGAATGAAAATAATTTGACTTTTTGGCTTATGCATAATGGAGACTGGTGTGACCCCCTAACTTGTTATGTAGGCTGGCGAGGTTGGTGTTTAATTCTTGTATATTATATATCACATCAATGTATTTAATTTAGGATTTCCCCCCGTGTACAGAAGCCGGTCACCAGAATATTGTCAGAATAGAGAGAAATGTGTGGGGACCCACCATGTGATTGATTAAAAAAACTAAAAAATGCGCGGGACCCACCAAAGGTGTGTATTCTGGTGAATTTCTGGTGAAACCCTTTCTGTACATCCAACATAGTTCTTTAATTTTTATCGGTTGATTCGAGGATTTGAATAATATCAATATTTTTTTCTTTGCACCGTAAAATGTAATATCTATTTGAATAATGCTACTTTGCCCGAAAAATGTGACATAATGGTTGACAAAATAGATGTTGGCAAGATGTGATTGGTTGAAAAAGATGTGAACCCAACCCATGTACATGGAGCATGATTGGCAGAATATTGAATAACGCTACTTGGCGTGAAAAATGTGACATAATGGTTGACAAAATAGATGTTGGCAAGATATGATTAGTTGAAAAAAGCTGACTGTATTTTAAACAGTCCAATAATAGGTAGTCACGTGGCATTATGTCAACGATTATGTCAACCATTATGTTTATGTAGCATGATTGTATCTATTTTGATTCAAGCTTTAACACCATGTGAATCTTTAACAAGAAGAAATCAAGAAAAAAAAAAGTGATAAAGTTCTAATAATGAAGATATGTCTTGCAACAAAAGAATATATAGGTTTAAATAGTCTTGCAACAAAAGAAGGGCAAGTAAGATGTATCTCTAGTCGGTGGTATTTATAGTCGACTTCCCCACTTCACAGTTCAACAATCTCTCTTTATCTAAAAAAATAATGCTATCTGACATCATTGGTGCTATAAAATCAGTCTAAGTGATGCTGTGTGATAGACCCAATAAAATGTGGAATTAAATGGCCCATTGAATTGTATCTTCATTTAATGTCATATTAGCGTTACATAGACTGATCTTTTAACAAAATTAGTACTAAATAGCATTACTCTTATCTAAAAGGAACTTTGCAAAGTGAACTATCACTTCCCTTTGTACTAAATATTCGAATAGTTCTTCGATTCCCTTCTTGGAATGTATTCCACCATTTGTCTTATAGATTAAGTGATCAACCTTCTCATCCCTAATTCCACAACTTCCAGTCTCCATTTTATTATTTGCTAACAAATATTTAAAAATATGGATGTCATTCTTCATAAAATTTAACATATTTTTTCATATCTAATGTGTTATTAGTCCGATGTTCGATTACATACGTTTTGTATATGGGATATATAAAAGGAAAAAAATCATAAGTAAGAGTTTAACTATCACTCATTTCAAAACTAAGATAAGATGTTTAAAATTTCAAAAATTAGATATTTAAAAAATTTTGTTTATGAAATAATTAATTAAAAATAATTTTTATTAATTAAATATATTAATATTACAATTCCATATAAATTGGTCACAAATTCTCGAATGAATTGATTATAATTTTTTCTCGATTACAATTCAAAAATTTTATAAGTCATTATTTCTCGATCACAAATCAAAAATTTTATAAGTCACAATTTATTTCTCAATTACAAATCATAATTTTTATAGGTCATAACTTATTTATTGGTCACAAAATCAAAATGTTCATATGTTACAATTTATTTATCGGTCACAAATTATAAATTTTATAAGTCATGACTTATTTAAGATTCACAAATTATCAAATTAATCGGTCACAAGTTATTTCTCAGCGCAACTTAGTAAATTATTTTTTAGATCACATTATATATTGGTCACAAATTACTCAATTTATTGGTTACAAACACTCTTGGTCCCACTCGACCACCATCTCTCAATTGCCAACAACGCTAGATCCACCACACACTAGTGCTAAAGTCCACTTGCACTATCGCCAGATCCTCTACACTACCATCAACAAAAAACCCCCAAAAACCAACAAAATCTAATTGCCTCCGCGCAACTTAGTAAATTATTTTTCAGCGCAACTTAGTAAATTATTTTTTAGATCACATTATATATTGATCACAAATTACTCAATTTAACAAAAAACACCACAAAAACCAACAAAATTTGATGCCAACGCCACCACCACATGAACCGTCGCCTCCAGTGCCATCATCGCTGTCAATACCTTGCCATAACCGCACTACCGCCATCACCCTAAAACTACCAAAACATGAAAATCACTACCACCCATCCAATAAATTAAAAAAAAAACCACCAACACAATTTGGCTGCATCAGCCATGATTTGTGTCGTCAACATTGCGATCTACGCTGCTATGATTTGTCGCCAAGAAGTGGCTTCACCGACGGC